GGGCAGCATGAGGGAAAGGCTCTGAGCGCTGGGTCTCTTTTTCCTGAATTGTGAAGGAACAATACGTTTATGGATGCAAAGGTTTAAAAGATTAACTTCACTCCTCATTCACAGAGTAACATATTGGATAATGACATGGCCTGAACTTTACATTTGAAAGGATTGACTATTTTAATGAGGCATCTTAATTTTTTCATGACCGGTTCTTGTGAGTGTAGTAGCTGGGCAGGTCGCCAGTCTACGATTTACTGAACTTTGCTTCATGCAGACATGATTACTTCAAATAATCATGATAAAGGCATGTTGGTAGGGAGCTGGGCGTCAGCTTGAAATCATAGCATCCTTTAATCCAATCCTGTGAGCTTTTATGGTTCTCGTTACTGTGGGATTATTAGTCATAGTAAGAGCTTTAGGGATTATCTTGCAGGTCAGTCACACTCTTGAGCTTCTTGGACAATGTCAGGCCTAAATCTTATAAAAAGACAAGAGGGTAAGTCCACAGCTGCATTTTCCTAATGCTCTTATTACACAGTGAAAGATAAGGAAGAGCTTGAGAACGTTCTTGTCAGACTATCCACAGTTGTCACTTTAAAACTAAACCCCACACTGGTAGCATCATGTAGTTGTTCTTTTTAAAGTGGTCTTTGTTTTTCATGATTTAAAAAAAACATTAAAGAACCAGACCGATTTCTATATTTCAAAGTGTTCAGCTAATTTTGAAAAAAAAAAAAAAAAATCTTGATGTAACTCACAAAACACTGTTTGTGCTGAAAAGAGCTCAAAATTCAGAAGATTGAAAAAAATAGTAAAAACTGAAAAGTAAACATACCAAAGCAAGACAAATTATTCAGGGGAATAACTTGTGTTCCTTTGTTGATATGCATTTTTACAGAAAACCTTTGGATTCTCCTGTAATTTGTCAACTTAAAGACTCAGCTTCTTTCACAGACGTCTGAAAAATTGAGATCTGGAGACTATAAACTTAATTTGTATTTTTTTTTTTTTAGCTACTACTTTCTGATAGTTGGATGTTTTGAGTCACTGTCATGCTAAAGGACCCATCTGCAACACAACATTTGTTTTCTAGCTAAAGGAAGATGCTTTTTGTGAAAATACACCGACTAATAGAATAGGCACGGCTGCAAAGCATAACGCTTCCACCTCCGTGCTTCACTGTGGGAATGTCATTCTTGGGTCACACTCACCATTTCTCTTCCTCTAAACATGGCTGAGGTGATTCCAAAGAGTTCATTGTTGGTCTGACCAGGCCACAGCACTTTCTCTGAAGCTTTCTTTGACTTATTTAGAGCCAAACTTTCACTGTCTGTACTTGTGCCTTCAACATCTGGAATCTTCAAGATATCACAGTGCAACAACAACGGCGTTCTTGGTGAGCGAGGTCTCCTCCAGATTATCAATAATCTCCTTAGGTTTCTCTTAGGTTGGCCAATTCCTCAACTTTCTCATGATCAACCTTCCATGGAGCTCAAGACAATTTTCATATCTCTGACAGTTTCCAACCTTCCTCCTGATGGTCCAGGTCTAACAGATTCATTATTTGGTCTGTAGCATCTTCTGACAGCACTCTGATCTTGTAGCTGGATCGGAAGAAATGAATCCTGTAGGCAGGTATGCTCCATATAAATACTGCATTAAGTCAGGGGTGTGTGATCTGTGTTGTAAAATTGATTTAAACTTTTATTTAATGGGGTTGTTTTAGTTGATATTCTGTCTCCAAATTAAAACGAAGCTACCATCTAAATTAGAGACTGTTCATTTTGTTATAAGTGAGAACACTCAGCAGGAGGATGATATAATTATGTCCCCCCACTGTAAAAGACAAATGCCAGCTCCAACTCCTCACTTTGCTAGAAAGCATTTTAAAAACCGTAGTTTGGATAACTATAATTTCACATGTTGCCCTCGGTGCATTACTGAAATTAATTCCCGCTCCAGGACACCGTAATTAACAACATTTTGGAACCATATTCAACGACGCCTGACTGACATCACTGGAAAGATCTCTTGTAGCAGCCTATTGAGAGTTACCTATAGGGTCAGATTTCTGTTATGTCTGCTGTGGTGGCCTTGCTCAAGGGCAGCAACCTAAGAAGAGTGGCATATAGATTTGTTTTTCATTGTCAGATTTTTTTTTTTTTTGCATCTATCATCATAACATACAGAGGCACCCGCAAGTGACTTCTCATTCGTCGTGTATGATTGAAACTCTGAGATTTCACAGATATTAAGACTCCAATAAGCCAGATGACTTTATCAGATGCTTTCTGATAAAGTCAGACTCTTGTACGCAGCTATCCATACAAATCAGAACAAGTAACAACTTTAAAACAGCCTTTTTATAAAACTAAATTTTAAATACAAAGACAGAAAACAGCGATCAAGTGAAGAACCTCAGAAGTATTCACCTCTTATTTTTGTTTCTCTTCATATTTTGTGACATTACAACCACATATGATTTTGTTTTTTGTTTTTACAAATAACTGTGGTGTGCATTTGTTTTTTCAGTGCTCTTTACTTGTATAACCAAAGTGAATCTAGTTCGATTTTTTCAAAAGTGAACTAATTAAAGTCAGAGTTGCTCTGGTCAGATAGAAGTGTTAAACACTAGAGTTGATTTCTGCCTGTTCAAAGTTTAATATTCACAACTTCCTTCCGTGTTTTTTTTTTTTTTTTTTTTTGCAGAAAATCCTCTTATTTGAGGATTTTTTTAAGTAGAGTTTATCTGATATTCAACAGAAAATTCAGTTTGGCAAGATGAAAATCCTAGAATGTCATGCTATTGGCTGGAGCGCCATTCATTTCCTTTGGTGCTTATTGGCTGTATCCTGAAAAGCAAAGATAAGCAAGGCTGTAGATGTTAGTTTGTATATTACACTGTGTGTATTAGTGCATACTAAGGTAAATTTTGATTTCTGAACTATTAAAATACGCAGTTATATGTATTTTTATATGCATTTTTAGAGGGCACCTTAAGTATTTGTGGATTTTAGTCATTCAAAGGCAGCTGTGGTCTCTAACCAGGGGTCTACTATTTATATAGTGAAAATCTTTACAATATCCCCACGGTGAACTATGATCGTGGCAGCATCATGCTTTGCATATGATTTTCTTCAACAGGGAAAGAGACTGTTTAGATTTAATAAGAAGATGGATGGGGCACAAAACGAGGCAGTACTGGAGGAAAACGTCCAGGAGGACAAAACTCTGAACATCCGGCCAGATCAAAGCAAAGCTGAATGACTGAACACTGAATATTTTTTCTCCATGAATGGATGAAAAATGTGGAAAAGTTCAAAAAAGCATGAAATCTTATGCAAGGCACTTCATGACATTAAGATGGCCTTTTTAAATGCAAAAATGCCCCAAAAGAAGATGTTTCTGTTCTCTGCTCTGGTGCAATGCCTCCATGCAAACCCACACTGTGACCTACACCTTCGGATTGCGCTCTCCTCTCTCTGTTCGCAGTTTGTATACATGTACAGACAAATGCCTTGTCATAATACCTTTTTTTTTAAAATTTTGTCTTTAATTCAACAGCAGTGTGCATTTTGCCTCGGGGTCACCTTAACTGGGGTAAAGCTGTCAGACCTTTGCCCTGAGAGACACAAACAAGAACTCCAGGATCACAGCCCAGATCTCTGAGAACTCGTCACATATAAGTAATGGATTCTGTAATATATGATTAACCTCAAGGTTCAAGAATGTATTCAGATTTAATCATAGCTCATTCTGTGGTGCATTGAAGAGTTCAGTGCGCTTCAATTCCACCTCAAAAAGCAAAATTACGGAGCTCATTCTTCCATGTCGAGGCCGAGGATAGAGTTTGTTCCACTGTGCAGGAGTCAGTGGAGCAGAAAGGGTTTTAACTACAATAAATGAGAAATAATAGGAAGCGAGGGGCATTATGTTGACCACACAATGCTCTTTTTATGAGATGAAAGTAAAGGCATACCAGAATGGAAGCAAGTTTGAGTGAGCTTATTTCCATATGAGTTTGTAATATGTAAATGGATAAGAAGAACAAAATTACACCATAAAAATGTTTAAATGGCTTATTTTGAAGCTGCGTTTGTGGATATTCTTACCACTAACTTTCAAGGCTTAAGGAACACCATGAAGACCAGAAGCCTGACTTTTTTTACATTCCAAAAGTAATTTTGTTGTGTTTGGAATCATTTTCCTGTCGGATCATTCAGATTTGTGAGTCGAGGTAAAACAGATATAGTCCTCCTACGTCATTATTCACCTCGATCCTGTCACCACTGTCCTTTACCGCTGGTTCTGTGTTTCTGTTGTTCTTAAACGACCTTAACATTTGTCTTTTGTCTGAACGTCAACATCCACACAATTAAAATTTTGCGCAACAGATTCAAAAACCACACGAGGGCCAAAAAAAACCCCCCAAAAAACAAAGAACTTTACATAAAACATACACATTTCGCCAGGAAGTCGAGTCAAATATCAAAATTATGCCTAAAGCTCAATGACTGGCTACAGGAAGGTTGTAGATGTTGAAGTGCAACATTTAGTCAGTGCATTTCTGAGCCTGCCGGTAAAATATCGGCCATGTGGTGATGAGACAAAACCAACAATTAAAAACTTTTTTGCCACCAGTTGGAGTTTTGTTGTTATTCCACCCTGAAAAGTAACATTAAGGCTAAAATTAACATACCAGCCATTCTCCTGATGAATTACTTGTGATTAGAGTTGAAGTTCTAGTTATGTGGAGTCAGTGATATCCTTAATGAGGCAGAACAAAAATAAGGAGTCAAACTGACCTAACATACTTTTTTTGGACTGTAGAACCCACACATAATATACTCCAGGCTGGGATGCAAACACAGGAAACAGTATTTGTAACTGTACCATTGTGCAGTCTGCCATTTTCCTTTCACTTCAAAATTATGCACTACTGTTATAGCATGCTACAAGAAAGCCTAGAATCTTCAGTTCAACATATTCCATTTTTTCTGTCCCAGCTGAGCCTGCATCCACAAAGGAGAACAACTGTCTGAGTGCTGCCAAAGCCTGTAACCTGAACGACACCTGCAAGAAATACCGCTCTGCTTACATCAACCCCTGCACTAGCAGGGTGTCTGCTTCTGAGGTCTGCAACAAGCGCAAGTGCCACAAGGCCCTACGACAGTTCTTTGACAAGGTAATTAAGCATGCCAGGTTTAAGAGCTTTTATTGTCTTCCATTCTGATGCCTGACGTTCAGCCTAACATTTCTCAAAATGATCAAAAACTTGCTTCCATCACAGTTCTAAATGGGATTTCACTTTCAACGAGGTGTCTTTGTAAATGTCTCAGCTGGGAAAATGTTGTAGCCCTGTGCGCCGCAGTACATTACTAAAAAACACAGTTTCATGTTGAGACTTGTGTGTTTTCTGTGTTTGTTCCAAAATCAAGGTTCCGCCTAAGCACAGCTACGGGATGCTGTTTTGCTCCTGTCCAGCGGGAGATCAGATGGCTTGTGCAGAACGCAGAAGACAAACCATCGTACCGATTTGCTCCTATGAGGATAAAGACAAGCCCAACTGTCTTTCTCTGCAGAACACATGCAAGACTAACTACATCTGCAGGTAAAACAGGAATCTTTAACAGGTTTAAATGTTAACTGAATCCTCTTTTGCACCTTGCTGGTTCTGGGTTGGATTTCCTTTTGCCTTCGACACTGCCTTAATCCACCATGACACAGATTTAAGAATTTGCCAGAAGTTGCTGCAGATTTGTCAGCTGCACAGACACAATGTGAATCTCCTGTTCCACCACAGTTCAGTGGTGCTCTGTTGGAATGAGATGTGGTCACTGTGGAGGCCATTGAACTCATTGTTCTGTTCAAGAAACCAGGTGGAGATTATTAGAAAGAAAGCATGGATAGGATGTTTAAACTGAGATCATAAAGTGATGATTTAGGTGGGCAGTGGCTTTTAAATGATGCTCAACTCTTACTAAAGGCGGCCAAATTGTGTGTCTCCACTAAGTTTAAACTCATTGAGCCAGGTTTTTTTTTTTTTTTTGCAATCTGTATTTGTGGGCACTCAAAGCACCAACAACCACTTAACTTCTTCACCATCTGAAGCTTGGTTTGAATTTGAGCAAGTTGTCTTCATTACGTCCCTGTAGATGTCTACGTGCTTTGATTTGCTGCCATGTGGTTGAACAAGTTTAGCTTATAAAGTGGCTAGTGAAAATATATAATGTCTGCAACATGATGAACTAAATATATCACTGAAGAACTAAAGGGAATGATGTTTTTTCAGCACCGTTCCCTGCTCTTTCTTCAGTGTCATCTTAAATCTTCCGCATGAAGTATCCTAACCTTTGACCTTAAAGACAGTTTTCAGCACCAATATTTTATTCAACACACTGAGGTCAAACTGAGTGTATCATCTCAACCATATATAGCCAAGTACAAAACTGTTCATTCTCCTGGCAGTTTTAGGCATTCTGTTTGCTCCGTCCATCAGATTCAAGTCAGAACCAGTTCAAAATGATTTGTTCCAGTCGGAAAAATAAAGCATGATGGTAAAAGATTTAAGACGAAATCTGCAAGGCGTATGAAAATTGCACCAATATAGAAGCAAAGTTCAAAACACTGTAAGAATAGATTACTTTATTTAAAACATTTTTCTACTTATTGCAAAATTATTTACTGCAAAACTGAATCTTCATTACACTTTTTTATTGTTAGGGTTTTGTGTATGTTGGCGTCTCCTACTTATCCGTCACTTTGCTCTAGATACGTTGTGAATTTCCCCACTGAGGTTTTTTTTATTATTATTATTTCAGCAGCAAATTTAATGTTTTTGATTGTTTATTCAATGTTGCATGACTCTTTGTTTTTGTGTTTAATGGTGTAAAGCACTATGAAATGCCTTGCTGCTGAAATGTGCTATACAAATAAAATTTGATTGATTGAATTTGAATAATTTTCACCTTCACTGTGCAGCAAAACAAAAGTTTGGTGAAAACTTGTCCAGATTTATAGATACAAACATTTAATGAAGTTATGTCCATCTTGATTTGATTGATTCACTCAATCTTTGCACTGTATCTTGTTTAAACATGAGCAAACAAACTCTAAACCCTAAAGAGCTGTTCTACTAGATCTTTCTTGGAGAGTGATTTCAGAAGTAGGACACAAAAGCATTGTTTTAAGAAGCTTTCATCGACAACATGTGTCATGTATCTCCATTGCTGATAGATCAAGGCTGGCGGACTTTCTCAGCAACTGTCAGCCCGAAGCTGGTTCCATATCTGGCTGTCTTCTAGAGAACTACGCCAACTGCCTGCTCTCCTATTCAGGTCTTATTGGTAAGTTCTTCGTATTTTTCATCAAGGACCCGTGATCTTACTGAACTGTGCTCTCAATTATTGCCACACCTGGTAAAAATGTGAAACATTGTCTTCTTGTGGTAGCACAACCTCATATTAAACATTTTAGAACAATCCAAAATATATTTTTGTACATTGTTTCAGTGTGGAATAAAATGCTGTGTACAAAAATACCCTGTCATCGTCAAACAAGAAATCACTGTGTTCCAGTTGTAGCTTTAAAATACATCCACAGCCTCCAATTACCTCAAATGTGTCAGTTAACCTATCAGAAGTTTCCAAAACTAATACGTCATCATCATCTGGACTTTCCTCCATTGTTTGAAGAGGTAATATTCATTCTGCATGTCTTCTGATTTTGAAGATGTTAAATAATTCTCTGACAGGTTCTTTCCTTCAGTATCGAGGCATCTTGCAAATAGAAATCATTTTGGTCATTCTAACTGACCTAGAACAAAAGACGTTTGGTCTGTTTTACCTTTAGATGGTGAGAAAAAAGGTGTAAGTGTCTATTCACTGTATGTAAACTTCTGGTTCAACTGTATAACACAATTATTCACAGTCCTGTTAATACTTATGTCAACCCCTTACTCACAATGTTGACGCATACAGAGAGGGGGATGTACAAGTTTACGTAATCATCCAGAGTTCTGAGACTTCAGTATTTTCCAATTAATTTTCAATAAGATTTATTTATGTCTGTGAATTGAAATTGCCATCAAAGAAAGTCTGGTGAAGCATTTCACTGCTCTGTTGACCATAAGCCATATTATACAACTTAAAAACCCAGTGAGGATTTTTGTTAAAATGTGGTATTTGGAAAAAGTCTAGTCTGCTGTGCATTTTTTAGAAGTTTCTCAGATTTTCCATCAAACTTTAGAATGGGAACAGAGTAGTTTTACATGCATTTGTCCTTTGAACAATTTCAGTCTCACCTGCCTAAAAACACACAATTTCCAGCTAAAGTACCAGTAGAGTTTGTCCAACTCCACATATTTATGTCAGTGACGGTAGGGATGGAAAGTTGTCTTCATGTAAATGGCTCCAGATTGCTGTTATGGAGACATACTGATCCCATTAGTGCCCCTTTGAGATTTGTTTATCTTCTTTAACTATTTTTCTCAGTGGAAATGAAACTTTATACTTTATATTCGGGTCCTCACCCAACCTTGTGTGTTAAAACTTTGTTTTAAACTTATTTCTTATTTAGGTTAATAGCTATTTTACCCATTTGTAAATCAACACACATACGTATGTCGTCTTGCCATGTTCTCTGTTTTTACTCATTTTGAAGAATAAGGATCCTACTTTTCATATCTTGTCCAGGGCACGAAAATTACAGAGTGAGCAAAGTTATTTTTTATACTTTCTTGCTTAATAGGTCACTAAAAAGATAGAGACTATTCTTAACAACCACAATATGATGCTGACTAAAAATCCTTATTTGTTTTTTCCAACAACTTTCTAGCATAGCTGATGCATTCTTCTACACATTCACATGTGGACTACATACATACAACAGATCATTTACAGGTGCTCATTGAAAAGCCAAGCAGTTTAGCCTGTGTTTGTTCTGCAGAGCAAAGGTTAAACTAGCTGATCAGCCAGGCTGGCAAACACCTTATATTACAGCAGCAACGCTGCAGTGCGAACATTTCACTGCAGCTCATTGTGCAGTAACAGATCTTGTTCCAGTCTTCCTTTCATCAGGGGGTTTCATTACGCAGAAAGGAAAATGACGTCCCACAGAGTTTTTGAAATGAGATTTGAACACAGTGCAACGGAGGCCAATTGCAGTCTCAACAGGCAGAAATTTCAATCTACACCACAGATATCATGCTTCACACAGTTTATTCCCTCTACTTCTCCCACCCGACAGGTTCCTGACGCCACACCACAGAATCTGCTTGTAATTGCAGAAATCAAACCTACTCGGCCTCAAACTTCCTTCAAAAAGGCAGACAATTAGTCTTTGCTTGACATTACAGCTTACTAAGGAATTTTATCATTTTATCACTCACTGCAATTTCCCTGGGCGATGTAAATGGAATAAAAGCTCCTTATAACACAGAGTAAGCCCACTCTCACTGGCTGACCTGGACATTTTAATTTAGCATAAAAGGCTAAAAAACAGTTCCTGCTAAACCACAAGTGCCCTATTAAATGGTTTCAACCGGAGTAGCAATGACTAACAGGGGTCCTATTCTGCTTTATGCTGCAGGTACAGTGATGACTCCCAATTATGTGCGGTCTTCTGGCATTAGCCTGTCACCATGGTGTGACTGCAGCAGCAGCGGGAACAGCAAGCCAGACTGTGATAAATTCGCTGAGTTTTTCACCAACAATCGATGTCTCCGTGAGTTCCAGCATTCTGTTTTCCGTAACACGTACAATGCTTTGCTAAAGTATTTATACTCCCCAAACTATTACAGGTTGAGAAAAAAGTTGGGGTTTTTCTATATATTTTGGGAGGTTTTATGTAATAGAGTAAGTAAGTAGTGAATAATTGTAACGTGATAATGTTCTACAAAAAAAAAAAAGAAAAGTGTGGGATTTATTGGTTCCCCCACTTTACTAAAAATGACAGCTAATTGAGAATTTGCGGAAATCCTTGAAAATTCAACGTTCACATCTAGTCTCACTGAGAATTCAATGTTGGAAGAAAGGGGGAAAATTTTAGTGACTAGATGAGCAGAGCTGGTAGAGACATAATTCAAAACATTGTTTCTTGTCATGTTTTAGTTTCAAACACAGGCAGAACGTAAAGTGAAAGTTCCTTCATATTAAAAACATACAAAGTGGCAGATAGGGATCAGGACAAGAAGCCAGCAGAAATGCAAAGGACCATGAGACAGGAGGACAGAGAAAAATCAAGAAGGCAACAGCAGAAACTGAGAGACTTAAATAGTGGTGAGTTTGATTACTGACAAGAGGCAGGTGGCTGATTGAAAACAGGGTGCAGCTGTGAGAGAAGGAAAACGTGGAGACTAACATAGAAGGGGCTGAACAGAGTAAAACAGATTTAAACTGAAGGGGAAAACCCTGACAAATCTAAAAGATAAACAGAAGAATGCAAGAAACACGCCAAGAACTTACAAATGAAACTAAAGAGAGCAAGACCTGTTCAGCAATCACAGGTGATACAAACACAAATGAAAACATTTTTACTAGCTACATTTTTTTTTGAAGAAAACTTTGAAAACTTCCACTTCACAATTATGCACTACTTTGTGGTAATCTATTACATGAAATCTTTTGTAACCGTAAAAGTTGTGCGAGTACATAACCATATTTATTTGCATATGTTTAGGTAGCCTGTTTTTATTACTTGGGCTTTTTAAATCGATAAATGTGATGCAACTGTATTAATCCATCATATCAAACACAGAGCAGCTGAATGAAAGTCATGCTATCTGGTGCAAATTTTGTCCCACATCTGCCATGTTTTCTGTTTCCCTGACATGCTCCATTTATTCTGTTCAGAAAGTCGATAGGATCAATACTTCCTTCTTGTTTAGGTAATGCCATAAAGGCATTTGGTAACGGTACTGATGTTGGAGTATGGCAACCGCAACCCCCCATTCAACCCACTGTGGAGCCAAGCATCACTCGTAGGGGTAAAGCTTGGACGAACAGCGTTGTGGACGTCCTGACAGACGTCAACCAACTGGGCGCCAATAGTGACTCGTTTCACATTTGTGGACCCTTGCAGGTGAGTTTTGAAAAGAAAATCTTAAATTTTGCTGTACAGAAACATTTAAATCTATTTTTGCTGAAAGGTTTAATGAAAATGGAATGCTGGGAAAGCCTTATCAGGAGAAAACTTTAGAAACTTCCCCGAACTTGGAAACGAAAATGCCTCATCCCAACTTTAGACCTTAGGAGGTCACCAAGAAATCCATTCAGGGCTTCAGTTTGACTGTCAGATGTCTGAATCCGTCACTGTGATAGATCAGCGAAGGTTTTATAACAGCATGCACAGAATCCCGCCTCCTGGGCAGAAAGTGGATATGTCAATGTGGAGTCACATTTTCAGAAGCTGTCACGTCAAAGCTAATTGGATGCCTCGGTAACCTCAGAAATGGCCTGAAGGTTCAGTCTGTTTGTGACAATGTTAGTGTGCAGGCAGGAGCTAAAGCCAAAGGGATCTCCCTCATATTCCCCGCCTCAATCCTGGAAGATCAGTTATTGGAAAGGACACGAGTCTAGAATTTTTTTTTAACTTGTTCTCACTCATAAGTGTTCTTACATGATCAAATTAAAAGTGTCTGAATTTTCCCAAACTCAAATTTTCAGTTGCTATTTTTAAATTCTAAAAATTCTGAACTGATGGCAGAGAGAGGAAGAGTTGTATGGCAAGATAAATGGTCATATAATCATAGTTTATCAGTGCCTAATAGACACAAAGCATCTTTAAAATCTACTTAAATGATTTAATGTTCTTAAGTCTTAAGTCACCAAACAAAGCCATGACAAGTGAGTGGCATTTTCTATTTATTTTGTTTGTATCTTGTTTGCAAAGAACTAAAAAACAATAATTGTCATGTTTTATTTTGCGCTAGATATTTCTTAATTTGGGTCTTAATTCAACTTTATTTGGCATTCAGTTTGTAGGTCATTGTAAAAGTCAAAGTGAAGAAAAAAACCGTTCTGTCTGTAAAGTGCTGACATTACTTCCACAGCTTTAATAAGACGTAGTGGATCTCAGAATTGTACGAACACCTCGTTATACAAACCCAAGTTACAAAAGATCACAATGCTTAAAGAAAAGATTAGACAACTGTGATATCACAAAAGCTAGAAGTTTGTTTTTTCTTGCCAGTACTGGTTGTGTCGTTCATGTGACGGCAATCTCCTGGAACAGGATTCCAAGACAGAAACCTTTACTTAAAAACATCCAGCCATGGCTAAAATTCACCCTAAAAACCATGAAGAGGGGTTACAGTCTGATGGAACTAAAACTCAACTTTCGATAAAGGGGGGAGGCAAAGAATCAACGCTGCACGTCACCATCTAGCATCATGCTCTAAGGTTACTTTTCTTCAGAGTTAACTGGGCCATTTTTATAGATCTGTTTTTGTTAAAGATGAACAGTTCTATATGTTCATCAGTTTTGATGTAAAACCTTCATTTGGTTGCAAGAAAATGGCGATGAAAATGGATTTAGCTTTTCAGTGCTACAGTGGGACCAAACATGCATCCAAATGAATGAAAACCAGAATAAAATGAAAGTTCTGGGGTGGCCTAACCAGAGATTAGAGCTAATTATGACAGAAAATCAGTTGGAGTCACCTGAAGAGGTATGCTGACGAGAGGATGATCGATTTGGAGAACGTTTGTAAGATGGAATGGATAATTATTACCAATTATTAAGGTGTGATATAGAAGATTGAATGCTGAAATTCAGTCCAAAGATGGAACAAAGTATTAGTTTAAAGCTATGAATCCTTATGCAACCAGGTGATTGCGTCTTTATCCCCCCCCCCCAACAGATTTGCATATTCTTCAGTTGAGCTGTACAAGTTTTAATGTCACATTTTAATGTCACTTTATTCTACACCACCAGAATCTGGCATTTTAGCAGAGGTGTGTGCGCTTTTAAAACCCACTGCATCACGTTAAGACTATTTTGTGTTTCACAAACATCCAGTTCCCTGAATTCAAAATGCTACGTATATTCACCATTTTTATTTGTACTTAATTTTGCTCAACTGTCTCAGAACCCGCTGCAACCCCTGTGGACAGATTTTGGCCCGATCAACACGCTCACGATATCTGCTATTCTCTCCTGATAAATACTTTGGGGCTTTTTTCTTATAAATGAGATCATATCACAGAGCCTCCTCTAACCGAAACAATCTATCATATTGGCTTTTAATAGCGATAATATGATTTATCACCCGTAAAGCATCCTTTAGGAGGAAAGACCTCCAATACAGCAATTAATCATTCTTTCTCATAACCCTGGTTTGTAGGATTCTTTCTGCTTAGAAATCACCACATGGAGTGTTTATTCTGTTTCCAAACCACCGCAGATTCCCCTTATCATTTTCTGCACCCAAACACTGTATCTATGAGGTTGCATTTTATTTTGTTTATCTATTTGTATGTGCAAATACAGTTTTTTATATATATATATATGAATGCAAAGGTTTTGAGGAAACTGAAAAAAGTTTTAATGTAATAAACTGATGTAACCTTGAGCTTGCACAAGCAGAGGGAAAATTACACCAAAAGTTTACACCACCAGAGATTTGTGGGGATAAAACAGTCTGTGGTTTGTATCGTATCGTTTTTCATCGCCCTCAGTCGGGCTGTGGAGAACTTAATAAAAAACAGAAATCAAATTTAATGCGTTTCTACCTCCTCACTTCTGTTTTCTTTTTCTCCCTTCAAGGTCCAAAATCTGGTCTCAAATCAAACAGCAAAAGCAGCTTTTTGTCCGGTAAGACTCGTTTTATTAAGCGTCTGAAGTTTCTACGGTTCCCATAAGACCAAACAATCCTGGGTCTATATTTATTAGAGTTTCAGCTAATATATGAAGTGTTACATTTCATTCCCTATATGTGTCTAAGCAATCTTTTAACTGTTATTTGAGCTGCTTCTGTAGGTATCCTTCCCCACCAGGTCATTATTGTAAAAAAAAACTGTTCTTAACTCTCCAGGTTAAATAAAAGGTTAAAAAAATAACATTTTACATTTTGCTTTTAACTTCTCAACATCTTTAATTATTGCATTCTGACAAGCATCTGTGAGTTTTAAAGAAAAGCTTGATTTTTACTGGATTCTGTTTAGGTGACTTGATCTGGGTCTGCTGGATTTTATAAGGTGCATCAAAGTAAAGGGGTTCATGCCAGGGTTTTTGAAAAGAACTGTGAAAACCATTTATTGTTTTCACTTCACATGAAATCCCAAGAAAAATGGATTGAGCTTTATGGTTGTGATGTAGAAAAAAATTAAAAGTGGTGTTAATTCTGCAAAATATTGTAAGTAAATGATAAAACTTTCCATACGACAAAAAACTAACTGATTTGTTTTTTCCTTCAGAACCACCAGCTGGATGAATCTGGCACTTTGAATGCCATCGCTGGACGTTCACCATCTGAACTGAACTCCTTGCATCTCTCAACTTTAGTCCTCTCAGTGGCCTCAACAGCATTACAGCTCAAAGGTTTCCTGTTTCTGTAGGAGCCAAGGACTGGAGGTCAACCTTTCTGGACTTAAGACGCAATCAAAGTCATATTAATTCAGACACTCACCGAACTGGAACCTCTAGGTTTTTCTGAAATCATAGCCACTCGTGGGTCAGATTTGTGGACGCCTGTCACTGAGATGTCAGCTCATTTGCCTTCCAAAGCCCTGTGGAAGTCATTTGCAAAGACTCTGCATATTTGACTGAGTGGAGTGCAGGTGGAAACTGCTTCGAGCATGAAATCATGTATTCTCTGCTTGATTTGTTGCAGTTGAGGGAAAAGCTAAACATGTGGGAAGCAAAAGGGAAAACCATGGACATACAACACATTTCATAGATGCATTGGATTATGATCAATGAGGTCATTCAAACGTCCATTTTGTCTGAAAAATCTAACTACGACAAAGACAAATCTGCCCAAAAAGTCCGCAACAACGTTCTCTAATACATGTTTGGCGTTATTTATAGAGCAGCTCTGTAGATCTGGTCGTCAAGGTGGTTTGTGGCTTTTATCATGTACACCTCACTTTGTGCATAGAAATATACAGGTGCAAACTCTGTTCCAGTATGCTGCTGTTAGCTTGTAAAGAATATTGTCTGTAACATTTTGAGAGTGTAAATTAGTACAGGTGACTGAGCTTTATCCAGCCTAATTGTGATTTATGAAATGTGATGAGATGTGCTTCTTTTCTCATGTGGTTACAGATTTGACTTTATGTGAATATATTTTGATGGAAAAGTGCATCATTTCTCTTAGGTATCAAAGTATTTGTAAACACAATCCATAGAATTTACAAAGAAATAAAAAAAAAAAAAAGGCACTGGTCTCATCCAGAAATTCGAGGACCACACACTTCTATTTTTTCCACGTTATTATTTCTTTGCAAAGCGCAAAGGGAGCAAGGGTTTGATGAATAAACAATGTGTAAATACCCACGAGCAGAGTTAATGTCAAAAGACAAAAGCCAGCAGACATTAATTGCCTGCAATTAGAGCTGGTCTGAAGGGACGGAAAGATAAAAACACGTAGTTAGTTTGTACTAAATGGATCGAGTTAACAGACTTTCAACGAATGTACGACACAATAAAGGCTCATTTCTAAACATCTTTAGCATTTCTAAAAATGCAATGTGTCTGTTGTAATTACTGATCTCTGTTGACAACTGAATAACAGTACCTATAATGAATTGATCCAAGATGGAGGGCATAAGATTGTTGTTTTGAGATTGAAAAAAAGAAGCATATTATTTAATAATGCAGTGCTTTGAGCTTGTTTACATTTTGTCAAGTTGCAACTTGACAAAATGAGATTTGACTTAAAATCTCAAACTTTCACAAACTTTGAGATTTTAAGTGACAGACCAACTAAAAGTAGTGTATATTTAGTAAGTGGGATGGAAAAGATTTGTGGTTTTAATATTTTTACAAACAAGTCTCTCAAGCGTACCACGTGTTCAACGCAACACACTTTTCAGATACTTATTTATACAAGATTTTGATAACCATGAATTCCAGTAACATACACTGAAGGTTGCTGTGATAAAGTATAAGGTTCTGCAAGGCACAATTATTTTTAAAATCTCTAACAATCAAAAGATGGAGATAACATTTAATGTTAAGCATGACAATATAATCATAAGACATTTTGGTTTACAGACTCAATAACAGACATGTATCCTGGATCATGTCATCCTTCCTCCCCCCCCAAAAAGCCATTTTATCTCACCTTTCCATATAGAAGAAACTCCTGTAAACCAGGATTATAGGATGGCACCTGGCAGACACCCTACTATTGCCACTTAGATCATATCAGTCCCCGTGTGGAGTGACAGAAGCGGACAAGGACGCAACCTGCAGAGGACAGACTCGTCCCTGGACGGGGAGGGGGATGTGTACTGTCACCTGTTTTGGGAACAGTGATGGAATGCACGATCCAGAGAGAAAGCCAAAGATTTATTGGACGTCTCGCAGAAACAGAAGGACCAAAATGTCCACCTCATGTTCTGCACAAGAAAGAAACAGTCTGTCCATTTTATCAGGTGCTGAAGTATAAAGTACTCAATAGGCTTTACATGAAGCACACAAAATTGCAGGGTGGTAACTGTAATTGATTGCTTTTATACAGCAGGTTGTCTGGGGGCTGCAGGAGCAAGACTATAAAACAAACATACATTTAAGATTTTTATTAGTAATCGTTTTAAATCTGGTAGCAGTTTTCTTCCACTTCACTGTTATATGATACTTTGTGTTGGTCTATCGCATTAAATTCCAGTAAATTACCTGGAGGTTTCTGGTTGTAATGTGACAAAATGTGAAAAAGGTTAAGAGGAAGACATGTGCGAGGCACTGTGCAGTTCTGCAACTTCAAAAACTAAAAATTATATAAGATTATACCTTTATCGGTTTTTTTTTTTTGCACATTTTTGTCATTTTAAACCAGCAACATTATTCATGTGATTAAATTATTAGCTTCTGGGCTAATAATTTATAGTTTTTATCTTAGTTTCTAAATTAAAATTGCTTCTCTTGATAACTTCAACACATCAAATTCCAATTAATGTTGTCTTACTTCAGGTGATCGATGCCTTGAGACAATCAGCTGACATTAAGCCCATTGTAAATATTATTGCTCTCCAGATTTATTGTTCCCCTGCCACCAAGCTCTGAGCTCGGTAGGTTTCAACCCTTCCACACCCATAAAACCACTGCAAGTCTTCACCGTCCAGACGCTCTCCCTTGGCATGGATTAAAGCGGATCTTGATAAAACAGCACAATTACAGCCACGGCACCTCATACCTAATTACTGCACCACTGACCTCTCCTGCACCATTTTTCAGCCAGGCAGAACTTCTCAACCTTTTCTATTAACCAGGAGAGCAGAGGCAATTTCATTTTATTACTTTTGGGGGGTTTTATTGTGTCCAAATGTCAGTGTGTGTCTGACTTTTCACAGTAAACAACTATGAGTTACGTCAAGATACTTTGCTTCACATCTTTTCAAATTTGTCCCATGGACAGAGATAAGAAATAATGGCTTCTTGATTGGATTAAATTGGGATTTTAGAGGAACAAACTTTTTTTTTAAGCTCTAAAATAGATGGATAAAGAAAACCGATTTAAGACTGCAGATAACCTTATGGATCTGTTTTTATCTTGATATTACAGAATATTATTAGCTCCTAAATGGTTAAAATAAAAAGTGAGATTCTTTTTGAAAAAAAAAAAAAAGATATCAAATCCACACAATAATTTTGCTGGAAGCAAAGAAAAAGAGTAATACTTTAATTAAAACATGCAAATTTTTAGAAATGTCCTGTGGGCACTGATTTGAACTTTTATTACGTTACCTAGAAATCAGCAAAGTAAAATAGTTCTAGTGAAAACATCCTCAATTATTAAATTACCAGTTTAAATACTGGCCAAATGGCAACATTTTAATATGTAATTAAAAATAAAGTAGCTTTTGAAGAAATAACTCAATGCTGAGTTACTTAAACACTCCTCTGCTGATACTGTTTACCGACCATTTAATTAGACTAATTGTTCCCACTTTAAGTCAGTTAAGATTACCAACAACATCTTTGCCATAAACGCCAAAATATGTAAAGATTTTTGTTTTTTCAAAATCAAAATTCACATGCATTTCTTTCATCTTTGGTATTAGCTTTAAAACGGTGTGAACTGGGTCCAATATTTTTTCTGGTCTTCCACAAGCTTGTGATAACAATTTGCTGTAAATTTGGCCCATTCTGCCAGACAACAAATGTTGGTCCATTAGTTTTATATTGTTTATACAATGCTCTGTTACCACATTCAGCCCACATCTTCCTAAATATTTTTTTATTTAATTTGAGGGTTAATATACACATTTCAACCCAAACATGTTTTCTTCCTGAACAGTATGGCTAGACATTCCTGTGTTGGTCTTAATAAGCGTGCTAAACCTAAATAAAATAAAAATACTACCTCTACTTGGGTAGTTTCTAAACCTTTTAGTCTCTGACTGACCTTTGTTGCAGGTCCTCTGATGGAATTTGCTTCCCACAAATCATATTTCTATGCTTGTCAGTCCAGATGATTTAAAAGGAAACCGTTTACATGAGAGTCAAAGATAACAAAGTTTACTAAATACATAGACTGAACCCATTGTGAAGTTAATACTCCATAGTCATATTGTGTAATATCACATTCTTCATCTGTGTATGGTGTGCACTATCATTTAAGGATCTCCTGCTGGTACTGAACGCTCCTGTAGGGCACTAGAAGCTTTTTTTTCTCCAAGAGCGGCTGCAGCTAATGGGTACAGAATAAGTGAAGATTCCTTAAAGTAGCACTTTGGCCAGCTGCCTACATCCTTGCTCAAACACACAGCAATGACACTGGGGAAAAAAGAGCATGAACAATCTATAGGGAGTTAATACAATGAAGGACAAACCTCTCAACATCACGTTGAGCTTGGAAAAGACGAATGCAATGCGTTCTTTACTTCAAAATAAACACTGAAAGCACCAAGCTAATAAAAGGTAAAATACACGACGCATCCTTGCCACCAACTGCAAAGTAACAAAATGTGAAAAAGTTCAAGGGGGAAAGCAAAACACTATACGTGTTAAATGCAGTAAAAAGTATGTAATTCTTTTCAATTCTTTTACTTAAACATACAGCAATACCTAAGTCTTGAATTTTAAAAGTTATTTTGTAATATTTGGGCTGCAGCAGTGCCTGAGGTTAGGGTATTGCTGGCCTGGAAACACAGGAAAGCGGACATTTTTTCCTATAGTATTGCATTTGACTGGTATAAACTTAGACAATGCTACACTGCATTGCTATTGGCTTGTAATTTCGAAACAAAAATAAATAGTAAGGCGAGTTTCCATTGCTTCCCACAAGAAAAAAGAGAGCAAAGGAAAAAAGCCAATGGAAGAACACAATTTCCCCACATTTGTGCCTTAAACATTTCTCTCCAGAAAAACTGATGAAGGAGCTAACAGGTGGTCTTTACTTCCCAAGCTAAAACCAAGTGCCTAAACTGTCCCAGCTAGCGAGTAACAAAGTGGGGAAAACATCAGAAAGGCAACACTGTCTAAATGATAAGCTAATTCCTCATACCACCGGTACCTAATGCGAGACCCGACAATAGACCAGACTCTAAACGGATGTAGCACCGGACCTGACACAGCGAACGTCAACGACTTACGGGTGCCCGACTCCAACCACAGGTACGCGACATTCATGGTTTCATTTATGAAGCTGAAAGCAGCACAAACCACTTCTTTGGTCAACTCTTTCCTCTTCCTCCGTTTGGTCCGCCTCATCTTCAATACACAAACGATATACAATATTGTAGTGCTCCGGTTCCAATGTAAAAGGCTTAACGTTACTCATTAATGTCTGGGCTGAACGGAGCTAGCACTGCTATGACCTAGCATATGTCATTTACCCAGAATGCATTGCAGCGCAAACGGTATGGTGACGCCCGAGTGCGAGTGACAATATTTATTTACATTTATAAAAACTGAACACCCTGCAGTATTTTTACTCTACTGTTTTTACATCTGCAGCAAATATTTATTATGGATCCATTTCAGAAAGACAAAAAAACATGTAACTTCAGTGAGAGATGGAAGAAAGTTTACTGCAAAGTTTTTTGTTTTGTTCTGATATTTCTTCTTTTAATTTTCTGGCATGTTGTCCATCTTTCCAATACACTGACGATGACTGATATGCAAGTTTGTCATCTGTTTCACAGAACAGCATGAGCCTGATTCCTGTGCAAAGACATGGTTAAAGGATTACTCTACAAACACAAAATAAAAATAAGAAAAAACACATTAGCTGACATCATGAAATTCATCATGACTTCCGAGACACAAAGCAGGACAATGCCCAAACACTTTATAAAGATGCACAAATAGAAAAAAAGGGGTTGACATTAGAACAAGTGGTTTGAAGTCAACGAGAATGTGCAAGAAAACAGGAATCTGTTAAATACAAAAACAGTAACAGAAAAGTTCCTCACTAGTGTAGCAAACCGATAATTTATTATAGATATAATAGTATCAGGTGACAAGGCCTGAAATTAACAAAAGGTTTTCACCAGTTTCATAAAAATATGACAAAAAAAAATGTGAAAGAAGACGCACATTTGTTCCAACGAGACACTGTACAGCTGAGAAGCTCCTTTAGATCTTCATGCTCCCATCTGAGCTCATGAAGAGCCAAGGCATTCTTATTATTAGCACAACTCATTGTACTTAAAAGGTGAAATAAAGTTATAGCTTCTTTTTTTTTTCCATATAAAACTTACAAAACAAACTAGTAAACAGCTAGAAGAGCAGGACTTCTCTGGAGCAGCCTCTTAAAACGTCCACCATCCCAATCTCAGTTCAAAAGTGTCAAAACGTCCAAAACTTTTCATTAGAAACTACAGTAACTTCAGTGTTTTTTCTGTTTATTGAACAGTGACTACACTGAGAAAAAAAAGAACATAAGTACATTTTTCCCAAATAAAATGCATCAAACATGTTCTAGAATTTCATGCCATAATTCAATGACGAATGATTTGTTTGTGGCTCCTTCACCTCTTCATCTGGCATGTCACGAGAACGGACTCTCTCCTCTGCAGCATTAGTTCATGTATCCCACAGAAAATACAGACTTTAGCTTTTACTTGGTGGAGGAGTCTTATGCAAACGAACAATTATGCTTAGAAATTGCAGAAAATGCTCAAGTTGTCATGGTTTGCAATATAATTGTGGGTTGTTAAGTTGAGACCTCTTCAAGTCTAAATTCTTTACAACAAAAAAAAATGACAAACCAGGAAAATCTGAATGATTTGGCACCCAAATGTACCACTTACGGGTGCACAAAAGAAAAGTAAAAAATTATACAGGGTGCACATATTGGACATCTAATAACTGGTTTTGATCGTATGAGGAAATTTGGTCAGCTTGTGACATTCCCAAATGCGCATTTACATTTCCTTCATGTTTTGCAAATAAAAAAACCTTCATCAGTCGTACTTCAATGAGTCTGGATCTGCCATAATATGTGGAAAACATAACAGATGTTCGTTAAATGTAGACTGAGCTGTCCGAGCGAAAGTGAAGAAACTGAAGCCTGGCCTGGATCGGTCGCTGCCGTGGATTTCTGATGTCGGCATATTCGGAAATGAGGGACTGCGCTCACGCGAAGTGGGAGCTGTAGTGGTGAATGTTAGCAGCCAAAACAAATCTCCTACAAGTCACTTAGGCATGTCAAGTCTGTGGAAAGGCTTCCAGTTGCGGGACCTGAGACATGCTGGAATGACATGGCGGTCGGTCAGAAACGTAACCGCCGGATGGAGTCAGACGCAGGTCCCTTGGTGAGCTGGAGGAAGGGCTTTTCGGTTCTTTAAAGCTTGGGACTTGTCCTTGAAATCTAATGGCTTCTGTTGTGAGATGTCTACCAACGCACTGGCGACAATTAGTCCTGCAGTAAAGGAAAACAGAGAAACGCATGAGGTTAGACAGAAAGAAATGTATTTATTGATCAAGTACAACTGAAGAAAACCCAAATAAATGGAAAAGGACAGTGTGATTTTGTTCATTTGGTCGGAGGAGAATTTTAATTGGCAACTTATAATAAAGAAGTAAAATGTTGCTCAATTTGAATACAATAGAGATGTCTATAAGTATACGTTTTGTGGTTTGACATTTCCTCTACTAACTATAAAACTTGCCGTGTTCAAACTTTTTACAGTTTCTCTTATGATGTGTTCACTATATGAAGGATTAACTGTTACACAGAGGAAGAAAGCCAGTTTTTCTATATTTTACTGATATTTGTGTCATTCGGTTGTGGAAAAACAATACAGAATTTATTTCATACAAAAAAAACCTAAAAACTGTATTTGTTATATGTGTAATTAAGAAAAATGTTGGTTCTGCACTGCTTTGCTAAATTATTAAGAGCCAGTGTAGAAGGTTGCAGACTCCTGCTTTGGACCAGAAAGGACCTTTTCACCTTTTTCTACCAGACTTTGTCCTTCCACTCAACATTCCAATAATGTGCTTGGATATCTCAGATGATCTTTTGTTGCTTTACTAACTGCCAAATCAGCAGTCTTTCATATGACAGCGTATCTATAACAATATACTTCTCAAGTGATAGATCAATTAATAATTATTTCCTATCCTCTTTTATTCACTGGTAATGTTATTTTAACTGTTTTCTAGTGTTTTATCAGCTTCATCATCAAGATGTTTTTTTATTGGTTTGACAATCTGTTTTACAAAGGGGGAAAAATATGGCTAATTGTGCAAAATAATTACTTTTGATACATCTCTTTTGTAAAGGGTAAGCTGACATGAAATTTAATCAAAGATAAAAGGCTTCACAAAAACTATTTCAGCAAAAACAGTCAACGATGGGCGAAGGATAAAGCAGCTTTTTTTATGAGGTGACATTTGACGACTGCTGCCAAGCCTGACAAGATGCACTGCAGCAATACTGACAAGCAAATCAGAGCAAGAAATGAAATAAAACATAATCCGAGTACTGACAATCTAATATTTACTCTGTCAGTGAGATCATCTACAACTTAAGAATGTGTTTTCTCATCAGTCATCTTTTATAACTCAGTGGTGATGTTTTTGTTTTTACTCAGAGGACTCCAGCATCTGGTCAACAATATCCATTTGGCAAGAACAAATGAAAAGCTTGACCAATCTTCCAAGTAAATCCTCCCTCTCTCTCAGGCGGGAAATCTCATAATTCATTTATTAGTGCCTCAATTAAAAAGTAAAACAATATTGCTTCAGGCTGCACTCATTGCCCAGTTTGCTTGTCAAAAGTTAAATAATTAGTGCAATATGTGCAGTACGTGTAACACGTCTAACTTTTCTACGTTGGATAATGATCCACCGTGATGATTATGATTGTGGTCTTAATTCAGATCGCATTCTTTGGGACCGATTTCAGAGAAATGTGATTCACGTGTCAGTGTGAGCTGTTTACCTGACTGTCCAGGTGGAGGCAGGTCAGAAAATCCAGACGGGAGACGCATGAGGACAGTTAGCACAGCAGCCTTCCCTCCAAAACATGGCTCCATTGCAACTGGTTTAGGCACACCCTTAAAAGCAACAAAAGAAAAAACACAAATTAACAGAATTGTAATACTAATCAAGATTTTGTTCTTCTAAATCCAATAATATGGGTTAAAAAAAGAAGTAGTGTTTTTGTTCTCGACAGACAGCATCAATAACTGCAATAATGAATTAAACAGCTTTCTCTGCTGGATAATACACCCTTGCTTTACCAACTAAAGCTGAAATCAATTTTACTTTCTGCTCTGGCTCAAGTGATGCTTTATTTATTTTTTTTTAAAGGAACCAGCTGACCAAAAGTCACTCATGTCATCTGATGGAGCTGCTGCATTTAAGTCAAGACGCCCTCCTCCTGAGACAAATGGTTTGATTGGTCACACAACAAAAACACTTGTGTCCCTGTCAGACAGTCAGAGTGCCGAGGCGATGACCTACCCCTCAGACGTAATGGCCAGAACTGCTCGTATCAAGCGTGAAAAACATGTCATCCTGATAATGAATGTCAAGGGTTTCACAGCATGCTTTGGATGAAAGGACAGAAATTGTTGAGAAACGACGTGTCTCTGAATAGAAATGCATTTTTTCCCCCTTTCTCTGCCTGATGGTGTTTAAAGTAGAAACAGCAAAGTCAGAGTGAAAATAATAATAACTTTTAAGTCCCTAGTAGTATTGATATTTTTAAGAAGATTCTTGTGAAATTCGCTTTGAAAGCCAGATCTTTAGATAATAGCTAATAGAAACTGAAATAATTACTATAACTGAATTCTTGTCTTTAAATTTCTAGTAAAAGACACATTGCACTTTTGCATCCATCAGACAATTTTAAATGCCATGATCTCAGAAGAACTGCATGTTTTTTAATTTGTTTTTGTCTTCTCAAACCACAAAATTATAAATGTTGCTCTTTAATCATTTTGATATTTAACAGACCATTACTGCGTTGCACATATATTTGTAAAGCTAAAAAAAAACTATTAGTGTTAAGTCCAATAGGATTCTGAAGGTCAACAGCTGTAGTGCTATTAGTGTTTTCAAAATATGAACAGTTTTAAATTCAAATCAGTTTCCTTTTTAGTCACACAACCAGTCTTCTTCCTGCCACCAATGTGTCAAACATTTTGGTTAAGATTATTCAAAGCCTATTTAGATATTTTGCATTTGTCACATTGTCATTCATAACTCCAAAGCTCATAAACACACAAGCACAAACATGCTAATACATGCAAACACACAACTAAACAGGCGGTATGAGCTCTCTTTCCAGGACTGACGGGTCTCATCAATCAAACTAGCTGTTCATTACTGGTTCCATATGTCGAGTGCCTGCCATTTTGGTCTGCAGTTTGCAGGCCCGAGTCTCTCTGTCCAGCAGCTGCTGACATCCTGGTCACTAAAAGCGGAGCCCGACTTGGAGGTTTAAGCCAAGCAAGTGGAAAAAATGGGCAAAAAGGTTGCTGGGCTCTTCTCAAAGCAGTTGGAAAAGTAGAGATGCTGATGACATATATGGAGAGATTAGCGCTTATGGCTCAGTCATACTGGACCTGAATGTTTCAGTAAGTCGGAAACTTTCTGAGAGACCAACATGGTGAGACAACTTTTCTTGATTGTGCTCAAATTCATTTGAGAAAGTGCTCTAAAATGTAGTAGTTGAAGCAGAAACGGAGCAGTAAATAAAGCCAGTGTCCTCTGTGTCACCAAAATAAAATGTGCAACAGTTAAGTGGAAGCAGATGTTGACTTATTAGCTGACACAGAGCAGAATTAGGTTGTTTTGAGAGTTTCCCTCCAGATCATCAATCATCTAATATGAATGATTGAGTAAGTTATCCAAAAGTGCAACTGAATATTCAAAATGTGTACACCATTCAACTTTTAAATATATTTCTAAAAGTTGAGCTAAAAAACATTTTAGCTCAAAGGTTATGTGGCAGTTATCAGATAAATACTTCAACTAATGAGCAATTCTTTATTTAAGGTTGCAAGCTGTGGCGCTGCTACAACAAACGCATTCCAGTTTACCGCTGCAAATAAGGTTTCGGCTTTGCCTTTGGATCAAAATGTAATAATAATAATAATTTAAAAAAACATTCTGGATATTTGTCACATTTCAGAATATTTCCTGTTAGCTTTACAGAGATCAGAAAATGTCACTTTGGTGCAAAGGAACACAAAAAACCTTATGTGATCATAAGCAATTTCGTACTTTTACGTTTTGCCTTCTGTGTTCCTCAAAATTAAACCATAAAATAAAATGTTAATGAAGTCAGAATTGTTTCTGTCCACATCTCAGTGGATCATAAAAAAATAATTTTTATCCTCCAGTAGCATGTAAAACTCTAAAATGTGACCAAGTGGGAAAATGTGGCAGAAACACATATGTTCTTAAAGCAGAACCATGAGGTACGCCACACCAAGAAGGTGCGGACGACATGTTTTTACTAAGATAAATACAAAACGAAAATCTAACAAAAACAAGAGCATGAATTCCTGAGAGTTTGCTCTTATCTAAAGAAAATCTGATTAAAACGTCAAAAACCCTTAACTGTCTCGAAAAGGTAAAAACCCCTGAACAATTGTGTCTTTAATGAAAAGATAAATGGCAATTTAAGCTTCAATTCTTTTGGATGGGATGGATTTAAGGTCAGTTTCTGTTCTGCCTTATTGCTACTAGGAGCATTATTGTATAAACTCCTTGTTTTGCCAGTAAATAGGTGTGGATTTTTCAAGATTCAAGCATAAAACCTACATCAATTGTGTTCCCTAAATGCTCTCTGGTGACTGTTAGGTATGCCATTTAATGTGCCTCACAAAAAACACTTGAGATATTTATGAGAAGGCTAGAATAGAACAAACACCATACAGACCTACATTAGAGTGACAAGTATGCAATTAAAACTACACTTTAATCAAGAAAAAAACCAGGCCATTTCCAGCAGCATTCTGATCCAGACGGTGCGATGCACTCACAGAGCCGAGAAGCATTGTTTTTCCTCCTCTTTCTCGCTTTACATTGCCCTTCAAAACACCATAATGCTGTGTGAGTACCACTCAGCAGAACGCTCGGCGCTAATGTGTTGCCTCTTTGCAGGTTGCCACAGAGATTTTATTTCTTGCAGGAGCAGGTGACACAGAGCCCGAACCAGGCTGAGAAATCACCACCGGTCCCTCAGATCTTATTTTGGGGACGTATCTCTTCATCTTACTTTAAACCAAGCAATACAGCATATAACCTGGAGCCCTATGTTGGACTTGGAGCCAGACATTCCCATTTGTTTGAGAAGTATGAACAAAACAGGACTGCCTGGACAGTCTCATATACCTCTAAACAGAGGTATATGACAGAGAGAAAGTGACAGTAATAAACGAATAGAGACCAATTTTAGAGCAAATCAAGGCACAAAAAAAAAGAAGAAAAAAAACTGAAGCAGTTTGAATACCTCAAAGAAATCATCACTGATTTCTTTTTGACATGAAAACTGGGGGAAAATTATTTGGATGACTTCATAATAGCTTTTAATTATGTAGAATTAGAGTAACAACATATTTTCTATCTCTTTGAAAGAAGAAGAAGTCAAGGGTGTACAAGTTGAAAGAATATTGTTGCTATTTCTACATTTTGTATTTTGTAAATCAAGGTAAAAAAAAAAAAAGAACCCATACAATAAAAATGTTGCACGAAATGTGGGATTTAGACTCACATCAACCAAAGGCTGCAGGACTTCTGTTAGCTCTCCTCTGGCATCCAGCGAAACGGCGACGGATGCAAATGGACGACTGGCCATCTGCTGGCGCTCTCTCATCAGCTGCTGTAGAAACGTGAACAAAACACAGCAAACGTGATATTAAACATTTAACACATGTTCAGTGCCGTTAATACAAACTCTTCACCAGAATTATAACGCCAGCGCTACATTACTATGATCGCTTAACGATTTTTCTCCAAAGAGCTTCAAGTTAAAGATGAAACACTCTTTTTTCCAATTAGCAAAGCAAGATCACTGTTAATTGTTTTGTGTTTGTTTGGTAGAATTTAAGACTAAAACAGATGGATATGAGAAAAACAAACATTTATGCACAAAATTAATTTGCTTGGCAGCTGCTTCTCCTTGAGCAGAATTGAAGAGTTCCTGCACAGTCTGGAAAAGCATAGGAAATGAAAACATGAGCAGGGGAACATACTCCTATTTTCAGACTTCATTCTTTTTGTCCAAGTGTTGGATCCATCCATCTTATGTTCTCTGCTTCTTTCCTTATTTTATACATCCCTCCTCCCTTGCCACATTTATTGCTTCATTGTTTCCCATCTGCTTTCCTTGCATTTTCTCTCTTGCATCCGACTTATGTTGCTTCTTTCTCTCCTTCCTTCCCAGTGCACTACCTCCATTCCTTATGTACTCCTACTCTTCCTTCCTACATCTCTTCTTTCTATTTACCTGACTTTGCTTCATCTGTTTCTCATCTTTGTTGTGTTGTTCAAAATTTTGAAGAAAATAATCAGTCATTCATTCTTTCTCTTCCACTCGTGCAAAGTGACAAGCAAATCTGAAGGCGTTCTCAGATCCCCGATCTGAATAAATCTTTCGACAGATTTCAAATGAAATGGCAATTAAGGCAGCAAAAAAACCTCAACCGGAGAAACATTTGCGACATAGATAAATGGAAATATCACATGAAAAAGCAGAAGAAAATAGAAAAAATAAAACAAATTTTCAACAAAACCCTGCCTTAAAAGAAATTGTAAAATTGCCTGGTTTTACACAATATTCACAATACCAATCATTCTGACCAAAATCCCCCCAAACTCCCAAATTTAGTAGCTACTAAAATGCAGAAGGGACATTATGTGCTTTTCTTAACCCCACCAACATACCTGAATCAATACGTAAAATTAAAACTATGAGTAGTAATTGATTGGTTAATGAGTCAGGAGCTACAGGAGAACTGTGATTAGGTATCTGGATCACATGGAGACATGATTTCTGTTGCCTAGATTGAGCAGAAAATGCATTTTTTCCCCCGACTAATCAATACTGTACAACAACTAATGCCACACTATCATCAGCAGCGCACCGTCTGATCAATATCTAAGCAGGCACCAAGGACATGACTGATTGCTGTTGGGTTTGAGATGAGCTTAAGTGTGGCGCATTAAGATCTAATTGCATTTCAGATCACTAAAACCCTTTAGTAGGTTTTTTTTAATGATAATTCTCATTACTGGTGCTTCTTCTGGACCTCTCCAAGTATCATTTAGAAAGTGAAATTGTACAAAAAAGCGTCTATTTGGAACGTCTGGAACGTCTATTTTTTCCTAAGCAAATTATCAAAAACAGATGCACATTTGATCATATTTTCAGGTAACACACATTGCATTCAAATTGGATCTAATCAAAGACCATAGAAATGCATCAGATCCTTTGAATGTATATTTATTTACCCCATTTTAACCTCCTTAGCTCTGTTCTATAGTTTTTAAATGTTCAAAAATATTGGAATTTTCTTAAAATGCACATTGGTCCCTTGAGTTAAAGTTTGTGAAAAATGAATAAATCTATTATCATTTGCCAAAAAATTCTGAAAATGTGGTTAAAAAAGCTAAAAGTATCACCACCTACTGGGATGTATTGTGACAGAAAAGTGCAACACATTATTTGTTTTCGCACTTATTTTTCTGTAGACAATTCAAATTAACGGCTTACAAATAACAGGTCAACATAAACATTATATCTGGTTCCTAAATTAAATTGAAAAAGTCTGATTTTTTTTTTATTTTTTTAGGTTATATAAAAGGACAGACTGACCTGAAAAATGTGGGGATTCTGTCTAGACAATATTGAAAATATAATATGGCAAACATGTCAGTATTATCAATAAATGTCGCATGGTGTAAAAGGTTAATAATGATTTGTATTTACCATTTCAAACCTGAATTTTGTTGTAAACTTCTGCCTCAAAAAGTTTTTGTTAAAGACTTTCCCACACTCAGTATAAATAATAGATCAACTTTAATAAGAATGTGCTTTTTAGGCTCTGAGGTCTCTTATAGTCTCATTCCTGAACACAATGTTCTCCTTGAGGTTGGACTGACCCTGACAATTCTCGTCTCTGGACCCCCAACCTTTGACACGGAGCATAATTTAGTATTCATTGGTCTGGCTGTTAATTAGCAAAAAATATTAAGAGGTCTATAGAGGTTGACAAGTGAAAAATGAACAGGTGAGAAAGTGACCACTTGAATCAGTGTCTAGGTGTTTATCAAAGACAAATGGCAAAAAGACAAAGTCAGGCTATTATAATGACTCTTTTTGCTCTGCAATTCTTCAGTAGCAGCCACAAGTTAGACAGCTTAAGTCATTTATGGTTTTATATTAAAATACAGATCTGTACTGAAACATTTTAACTCAAAAATACTTTGTTGATCCCAAAGACAAATTAAATGATTAAATAAGAATTCCAAATGCTAATAAAAGTATCACAACTTCAACTATTTCACCTAACTTCTGTAGAAATAACCGCTGATGGCTTAAGGATCTCGCATATTTCCTTCAAAGTGTCAAAATCAGCTCTCACTGATGTGGATGCTTGAGGAAAATTGCGTCATTTTGTTCGTAGAGAGGCACCCGCGTCCCCTTCCCGGCACCAGACCCGGGTCAAACCATTTCGACTGAGCTCTGTGCAAAGTGACGTGTGATTGGTCAGATGGTTGTTGCCATGTTTTGTGCAGAAATGCGCTCTGACAACAATGTTAATATTTTGTTTCAACTAGAAGCTTCCACTATGTGTTTTTTGTATCCAAAGGAGACGTAAGAGAGGTGAGGACTTGTGTACATTTGAACAGTTCCTAACTAAACTACTAGGCCTGCCACGATAAGAAATTTTGCCAGACGATAAATTATCCCAGAACCTATTGCGATAAACGATAATATTGTTGTTTTGAGACTGTTTTCAAGTAATATAATAGTAATAATGAAAGAATAACATAAGAACACTTTATCAAAGGTCAATAAACTTTAAATTTTATGGACATTTAAACATTTGAACTGGAAAACATTTTTAAAGCCTAAAATATATTAACAAAACTATAGAAACAATAGATAAAATGAATAAAAAAAAAAAAGTCTTTCAAAAAGGAAAAGTTGAGACCAAAGCACCCGACTGAAGACCAGTTTTGGTAGAAAGAGAGAAAAGAGAAAAACAATAAATCAAGCAAATGAAAATTACTGAGTTTGTTTTAGTTTATCATGCACTCAATTGATTTACTGTTTATTTTGACAGGCCTAAGTAAAACCAACAAATGGCTAAAACTAATAGATAGAAGTTGAGACATTGTTAAACACTCAAAAAGCCATCTGCAGAAAATTGTGGCCCTTTCTCCATGACTGTTTCGAAAAATCAAAATAGAGGATGCAGGGAGGTTGGGGTGTCCCCCAGGTAGTCTGCGCCAAAAACTGCAAATACGTCCCACTACCACGTGACTGTGTGAACTGTCCAGCTTCGGATGAATGTGGGATACGTTGCCCTCCATGTGTGGGATGTGAATAACTATCAAATTATCTCTTATGTGATTAAAACTTTAACGTAACATTTCTAAAGTAAAAATAATTAATTGGTCTTGTGCACTTTTACAATTTTAAATAGAAGTCAGTACAAGTCAGAATCATCCAAATAACTGGAAAATACCCTGGAAACGCTCTTTTTGTGCGATGAATCTATACAAGTCTAACTTTCTAAAAGGAGTCAATGGAATAAATATTTTTAATGATATTCTGGTTTATTTAGATGCACCTACATCTTAAATGTTAAGCCTTTATTTAATCTAATGTGCCAACAAATAGAATTAAAGCATTTCGCAGACCCCACTCAGTGCCGTGGAAACATATCGGTACATGGTGAATAAGTGGAAAGTGTCGCTGCTTTGTTTAATCTGAAAACCTTCCCTCAGGGAGGTAGTGCTGAAAAAAAAATAACAGCACCCACATGAAATTGACATTGATCACCTGATTGATTTTTCCTTTTTTAAACCTTATATCTGATGCCCGATGTTAAATTGTTGTACATCTCTGCCATTAAACATCAAAACCGACAATACAAAACCGATAGATTTGAGCTGCTGGGTCACAAAGGGTCAAAATGAAAAATGTTGCCCTTTTCAAAAAAGATAAACGCAGGATGGGAGGGCCCGGTGAGGTTGTTCCAAAACAAGAAAACAGCTCAAGGCTTATTACGGTTTCCAGCACAAAAAGCTTCAAATCCAACAACATTCATCCTAAATGTCAGATAGCAGTAATGTTATTTATCATGTTGCAGAATTCATTTTAACGCAGCAAAGCACAGCAAGAGCAAAGTCTAGCACCTGCCATCAGAAATGTGCCAAGAACGCAGCGGTTAAAAAGGACCAGCACAATACCTGAGAGACTGGAAATGAATGCTAAGTTAATGACAAAAGGCAAGGCTGAACTCTGTAAAACCAATTAACGTTTATGCAATGACAGACTGATTTTGTCTAGAGTACAAGCTGGAGCCATTCACAGTTTTGATAAGGGTGGGCTTGCAGCGCATTGCTATGCAACTTGATTAATTTGGCAAGTGAGGGCATGAATTATCTGTCGAGTGAATACAACATTTTGTTCCCTTCGTTGGGCTGTATAAAGGGGTGGGTGTCATCCCGCCTCCGAGCGCATTTCACACCGATGCAGGTCACTCTGTCCCTTTCAAAGATCACCGGTTATACCCACAGGCTGGCTCCTTTAAAGTCAAACAATACATAAACATGCAGTCAAATGTACATACACCAGTGCTTTCCTCATAGCAAATACGTTGGAGGCAATTT